GTAAGACTTTTAGCCGTAAGTTGCATCAATTGCAACAAAAGTTAAAAAGATCCTAATGAAAGTTTTCGATTTCTCAAGATGCTCTACGCAAAAGAGAGAGGAGAGATCCACATGTGTTGATTAAGTGTTGCAGCCTCAAATGTTAATGTTCCTCACTAAAATATATTTATGAAGGGAAAAGAGGAAGAAGAGAAATGACTAGATAGACTAGTGGAGCTGAGTTAGAATTAATCTGAACATTGTATTCCGAGAAAAGGAAGATACTTGCCTCATGAGTTGTAACCTGGTGAATATGCAAGGGAAAAATGAAGGACCAGAGACTAAGCTGAATGTATTAGGAAAAAGAGAGCCATCAGAAAAGAGGGAGAATAAGAAAGTGAGAAGATATTGAATACCTGAATTACAGCTGATGGACAACAAATACCTGGTGAAAAATTTCATCTTCTTGTTTAATATATATTATTTCCTCATCAGTTGACCCACTTGACCTTTTTTTCGAGTTTTCATTCTTAAGCTGCATTTTTGCATGGTATTAGGGATAGAGGAAGTGGGAAATTAATGAAGTAAACTGTAGGTCATATAGAAACCATGTAATGGAAGCACAATAATAGTATAATAATGGTACAATAATATACCTTGTAAATTTTACTGACTAGAATATAATATTTGAAGCAGAAGGAATTTCGGAGCTCTTCTGTTGGCTTCATGAGGTGAAAAAATAGAAATTTAGTTAATTCTATATAAAAACTAGATATTTTTCTCAAGTTCACTAATTTAAAGCAATAACATCTAACCTCATCTTCAGTAGCCCATGAAATTTCATCAAAAAGTCCATCATAAATAGGAGGCAAAAGCTGAGGCGGCAGGTTCAGCACACGCTGAGAAACCAACAGGCCAACATTCTGCCCTTCCTCTCCCAAAAGCAATCTCAACTCACCAATTACATACTTATCGTGGCACATCTTTAAGAGGAAATCCTTCAGCTGGATAATACATTTATGATCCTGGTAAAAACAAAATTCTTGTTAATCTGCCGTTACAAGTGAAACAAAAGACAGATGAAAATTGGTACATCATAGTCAGTGCAATAACCAGAAGTTACCAATGATCAAAGATTTCATGCCTAGATAAAAAGGAGGGCCACAGCACAAAATTCATTTAGCATCCTCACTTGTCAATACTCCTTAGGGGAGATCCAGGGTAAGACAATCAGGATCTATGGGAAGATTCTCCACCCTGCTACACTGGTGGGAATTGACATCTGAGATTTCTACAAATAACATTGTGCTATTACATTTATTTCCAAAAGAAAAACATTGAGCTATTACATGTAATGTTGATTGTTTGTAGCTTAGGTAACTCTAGAATTGGCAAACTGTGATAAAGACGTCATCAAACTTTTCCCACTTTGAAACTTATAAAATCATTTGGACTATACCAAAATTACACCAATCTTGACTCTCCCGAAATTAACGAATCCTCAGCACCACGTAGTTCAAATTGTCACCACCATTAATTATAATTACGAATTTGAACTGCCAAAGGCCTACATGTAAAGTTAATCAACAGTGTGCTGACCATTGCAAATAGACAAAACAATGTTTTACACTACTTGCCTTATATCTCGCCAAGTTAAGAGCTGTAATGACAGAGAAGAGTCCATCATCTTCATCATCCTCTACTTTAACAACAGTCCCGACTGTGGTCTGTCCCAATATCAAATCCACAAAACCACTCAAATTCCATTCCTCATTGTCAAGATATGTCTGCAACAAGATCTTCACACCATGAAAATCGTCGGGTTTTGGATCAAAAAACTCAAAGTCTGCTTGAACAATTTCCTTGAAATAACAAAAACAAAATTCACAGTAAAATAGAAGCTAAAAATAAAAAAATATAATGTAAAATGACTAAATGTTAATTTGATAAAGCAAATCTTGACTACAAAATATTTATGCCACTAAAGCAAATACTTACTTCAAACTCTTCTTCCTCTGATGATTCATACTGTTCATTCTTCTCTTCAAAAGATTCCTTGGTGAATCCATTATCTTAAAAGGATGGAAAGCAATTATTAGATCATGCAAGCACCATAAATTTAAAGCAGATAGAATGCAAAATTAAATGCTTCCTTAGATAAAAAAGAACTTACCAATGGATTTTTGGGCAGATCTCCTGTACGCTATAGAATTAGATAATTGCTGCTTGATCAAGTAAGCAGAGACGGCATAAGCAAGAGAACGTGCAAAGGGAGAG